TTATTATATAAACAAAATTCAGTGAAAAACAATAAAACGTCCGTGGCAATGCGTTTTACAACAAATGATATTTTCACACGTAAGAATATCGTATTTTTTACGTGTGTTTAAATACGATTTTTCTCAGTGGCCAAAAACTCTATATAACACTTATGTTTATATAATAAAAAGACATATCCACAGCATATATACTTTCTTAAACAAGTAATTGTAAGTCCATTGTACTTTTTATCTTAAGATGGATGAATAAAGCTATTATTATTAAAACCCGAAAGATCAAGACAAACTCAAACTCAATAGGTATGTTCTATAAATATTTCAACTCTTTTATAATGAAGTTCAATAATCGTTTTAAAACTTACACAATTACTTTTCATATTTTTCTACGTTGCTTTAGCTTGAGGCAACGCTTTTGAAACCATAGTTTTCGACGATTATTTAGACAATTTACAGTTTATCGACAACTAAATATTTTTGTTTCAAAAACATAAAAAGACTTTGTTTACATTGAAGAAAAATAAAACCCGACGAAGAAAGAACTAGCATTTTGTAATCTTATAAGACATTAGCCAAACTGTGACAGTAGTGACGTTCAGAGCATGCAAAAATGTTTTATGAGTAAATCATATTTACGCGAAACTACTTTGTTTACAAGGCTGCACGATTTTCATCGTTTTTGTAACTGCACATTTGTTTCGACAGTTTGCACCTTCAAAGAACTCAAAATCTATCCCCAAACTACAAATTATATTAGACAGCAAGACAAACGTTTTGACGATGAAAACGTAGTTTTAGCTTTGTTTATACTTTGGAGTTTGCACTCCTAGTCAAATTCAAACATGGCGGATTTATAAGGGCACGCATGAGAAAAGTAGAGACATGATTCGTGATAAAGTACGCAATCTATATCTATTATTTCTATGGTTTTAAGATTATATTTCACCAAGGCCTCTTCATATGATAACTCAGGAAGCATTATTCGAAGAGCTCGAGCTTCCGTGCCAAATATGTGCACAGTACTCGAGAGTTGATCTGATCTGTGTGTATATATATATATATATATATATATATATATATATATATATATATATATATAAACAGTTTTGTTTTTCGTTATAGATAAAAGAGTGCTCAATACTACAAATTATTTAGCAGAGCGAATTAATTTGTTATCTTAAAATGTTTCAATTTCTCGCTACTTTAAGTTTCATGCCACTATTTGTGGCAATCTTCAGGCGATTAAATTCAAATTAAATAGGCGATTAAATTCTTTCTGGATATTACGCTAAATTTGGAAAATGAAAAATTTGCACCGTACAGAAAGCCAAACAACCAACCACTTTACGTTGACAGCCGATCTAACCATCCACCATCCATTCTAAAGCAAATTCCTGTCTCAATTAACAAGCGAATCTCTTCCCTTTTATCTGACCAACAATCCTTCGATGAATGCAAACCTTTCTACGAAAGCGCACTTAAACACAGCAATTACAATGTTTCTTTGGAATATTCACCCAACAGCCCTCCTTCTCCACCATCTACGAAACGAAGGCGCCAAAGAAACATTATCTGGTTCAACCCCCCGTTCAGCAAATCCGTTAAAACCAACATCGCGCGGAATTTCCTACAGCTTCTCGATAAACACTTCCCACCTACAAGTCCTTTGCACAAAATATTCAACCGTAACACAGTCAAAGTGAGCTATAGCTGCATGCCTAATGTAAAGAGCGTTATATCTCGCCACAACAATTGCATCCTGTCAAAACCCACAACCACCCCACCAACATCAGATAATTGCAACTGTAATAACCCGAGTGAATGCCCTATTAAGAAGAACTGTAAATCTAAAAACATTATCTACAAGGCCCAAGTTACATCACCTGACGACGGTGTCATGAAAGAGTATATAGGAATGACGGCGACTACTTTCAAAGAACGATATGGAAATCATAAGAAATCCTTCAAACTCCAAAGATATAAAAACGATACAGAGCTGTCAAAGTACATCTGGGGGCTAAAGAGTAATAATAAAGATGACACCCTAAAATGGTCAATTCTGAAGCGGGCAGGCGCATACTCATCTGGTGCAAAGCGTTGCAATCTCTGCATAGAAGAAAAACTCTGCATAATGGATGCAAACAAGCATTTAACACTGAACAAAAGACCCGAGATATTCGCAAAATGCCGACATCGCGAGAAATTTTGGGCGGGAAATTTTGAACGCGCGTGCGAATAATGACGGTGCATGCACGTCAGCAAACTATAGATCACGCCATTATAACGAACTGAATTTAATCGCCTGAAGATTGCCACAAATAGTGGCATGAAACTTAAAGTAGCGAGAAATTGAAACATTTTAAGATAACAAATTATATATATATATATATATATATATATATATATATATATATATATATATATATATATATATATATATATATATATATTGTTGATGCTGAATTAATATAAACAAGACGCCTGCCCAGGCGTTCACACTGGCCTGAAAATGACGACATACGTGCTATGGTGCAGTGGACAAGAATACAAGTCGTAAACCGCAAGTGAATTGTATGGATTTTTTAAAAAAAATAAAAGACCTTTTCGGGAGACCTATATAGTGCAAATATATAACTAAGAGTTACTATCGCAAGGAAAGTGCTGCCTTTTTGCCACATGAACTGAATGCAAAAGATTGTATTTCTTATTAGCTTTGACCAAATGGTTTCATTTTCACTATTCATCATTGGTAGCATGGCAAGCCTGCACATGCCGTTATATCCCATACTGGTTTCCTGCACAAATTTGTTTCATGTTCATAATTTTAAGCCCAATCACAAGCTTATTCTTACATTGTGTGCACGGAATACAAGTTTATTCTTAGATTGGTCTATAAGGTCTATTGACCTATTAGCTGTCAATCTGTCAACATACACTACTTTCAGAAATAACTCTAACTAAAGCCAGATAAATTAATACACTGTGTACCGCCAGACGATTTTATACTTGTCACCCTACTTTAGTATTTATTGTCTGTCTGCTTTAGTATTTACTGTATAGACAATTGCACTGCCAGTAAAGTACTGCCTGTAAATGGGTTAATTTCGCGTTATGCCCCTGACTGGAAAGTTCGGAAATTGCGCGCCGGAGATTTCGGAAATTTAATAGTAAATATATAGAAGGGCATCAAAATTGCGCGCCGGAGATATCCGCTTCGCAGTAAAAACTCATGCCCCACTGGCAAAATTTTACATTTTAACGATTTTTATTGTTTCTAATTGTAAATATCTCGGCGAGCATTTACCTACCTCCCTTTAAAATGAAAAGCATCATTGTAATCCTGCGGGGGGTCAAAGGCCGTCAAAACATTACACAAACCAAAACAATCATATATTTACATGTAATGTAATGTAATGTAATGTAAAACTTTATTTCAATACGCTAACTTCGACAATTATTTACAACTGGTTTCCACGAAGGGCGTATACACACAAAGAGCTAAATGTTAATATAATTATATATAGAACAAAATATGTAAGAATCCCACTCTAAAATTTTATCATCTTCCTCCCAAACCTCCACCCCCTAAACAAGTACCCACCCACCCTCACGCAAAACTAACCCCCCTCCCGCCCACAATCTAT